CCAGTGTTAAATAAATTAGGGTGGGTGTCTATGGGGAGAGGGTATAGGGTGAAGATAAGAAAAGGAAAGAGAAAAGAAGAAAGAAAAGAGAAAAGAAAAAAGGAAAGCAAAGCAAAGCTTTGTTCAAACCAAAAATGATAGCAAGCCAAGAGTTGAAGGAAATAACTTAATTCTTTGTACCCAAGGTACTAAAAAGAAGCAAAGATTTCATTAATTTTCAAGATTGTTCTTAGCTTTCAAAGGAGTCTAAGACTCCCACCAAAACTGGAAGAATCACTGACCAAAATCTATTCTCTAACCTCAGAACAGACAGATCCAGAGAGGAGTGAAAATCAGATTAATTCTAGGAGACTTGACATAATTAGGATTGGCAGTTGACTGGTTAACCCACAAAGTGAAATATGTATATGTATACTTATATGTATGTATGTATATGAATGTGTGTATGTGGTATGGTGTGTGTGTGTGTGTGTGTGTGTGTGTGTGTGTGTGTGTGTGTGTGTGTAAGGTCTTAATACATGACTTAGGGCTGGTCCCAAACTCACAATCCTCCTGCCTCAGTCTCCCAAGCGCTGAGGCTATATGTGAGCACCACCATATCTACCAATACTATTTTTATACAGTATTTTATTAATTCTTTGAAAATTTCATACAATACATCTTGATCATATTCACCACACTTCTCCAAGAGCCACCCTCCACCTCTCCAACTTCATGTCCTTTTTTTTTCTTTAAAATGACTAATCAAGTCCAATTTGTGCTGCCCATCTGCTCATATGAGAGAGACAGGTGGGTAGGGCAGGGAAGGGCTTGAGGAGAGAGAGAATAAACACTAAAGTGTGCTTGAGAAAGCCGCATGGAAACCTACAGTTCTATAAATTTATCAAATAGACTTTTTTTTTTTTTTTAGAAAAGAGTTTAAGGGATAATGGTACTCCAGAAAGCCACAGGCTGCAAATGAAAAATCCAGGGCCAGGTGTGTAGGAACCCTCCTCTCAAGCTGTTGGTCAGGGTGTGACCTCCTCAGAGCAATGCATTTCCTTGTCACTGCTCTTGGTTACCACCACAACACCACGGTAAGGCCCTGTCACTGAAGACCCCACACATTTTGTTCACAGGACATGGAGGCATCAAGTTGGTACTGACTAGGGAGCTCCCTTCCCGGTGGCCAGCTTCCACAGCGGCAGAAGGTGCTGTGCTGGCTGCTGGTGAGGGAGGGGTGACTCACCAGCAGTCTTACCTACCCTGCTGTGACCCCTGTAGACTGTAGCAATGACTTGTGTGGCAGGAGAGCTCCTGGGTGCAACTGTGGCCTGTCAGTTTTCTATCCTACACTGGGAAACATTGTTCTGAACAGTCTTTATCTTCCTCTATGTCATCTTTCTTCCATAAATCAAAAGCGTGTTGTATCTCAGTATTTACAGGTTGTTTTTCTAAGTGCATCAAGAGCATACACTTCTGAAGGAATCCGGGTGCAGCTACACCAGGGAGTTTCACAGCTGCCCCAGATGTTCGCCTTCACGTAGCCCACGTTTAATTCAAACGCAATTTTTCTTAATTTAATGTAACAAGTCTTTCTAAAGGAAAAAAAAAACCTGTAATTCATGAAAATAGTCATTCATTCTCTGTGGTATGTCCTTCTCTCCCTGCTTCTTCCCTTCTCTTCTCCCTGGCCCTCCTCCTCCTCTCTTCCCCTCCTCAAGTGTAGTCGTAAACCAAATAATGTCCATAAAAGATGTCCTCGGGATCTTTAACAAGTTACTTGTTATGATAAAGGAGTTTGACTTGAGGAGATTATCTTGGATTATGGAGTGGACCCAAGCTTAGTCCCAGGGTCCTAACTGAAAGGACAAATGGAAAGTCAGGGGACAATTTAAAAGTGCTATGCTGGTGTCTCTGAAGCTGGAGGAGCTGAGTCACAAGCAAAGGTATGTGTGGCAGAGGGTGGGGGTGGGTGGGGAGGGTGGGGAGGGAGGCAGGTGGTAAGGAAGACATTTCAGTCCAGAGAAGCCCATTTCTGCTCGAGTGCTCGAGGAAGGTAATACATTGTGTGGTTTTAGGTCATGGAGTTTGTGATGGTCTGTCAGAGTAGCGACAGAAAAGCAACATACCAGTTTACTTCCCAGGCATTACACAAAATAAATACAGGAACAATAGGCATGATCCTTCTGAAAAAGAACTCTTGGGACACACAAAACCCCATATTTTAGACCCCAAACCAACAGGTTGAAGGAGTGGATTATTAAGAATGCTGTATTAATCATCATATTTTGTAGGAAACTGGAAAGCGTTCTTGAAGAAGTCATGATTAGTTTTCTTTTGTGGATAAGCAAATGAATTCAGAGAATTAATTAAGCTGTCTGGTCACATCAGTAGTCCATGGCAGGCAACAGCCAGCACCTGAACTGTGATCCCTTTCATTGGAAAGGTCTTTTTTATTTCTCAGATGTTAATCCTATTTCATTTTTCCAATAAAATCTTACTTAATCTAACCTGCCATAGCTTTATTATTGTAATAGTAAAAAAAAAATCACAGTAAGAAATAACCACAATGGGTAGTTAATGGGAATTTAATGAAGGGATTTTTCCCATAGCCATATTTCTATACTTATTCAATAGTACACCATGGAAGTCCAGATGACATATCTTTCTCCTCTAGGAAAGAGGACAAATGAGACTGCACTATAATGACATGACATCATTAAAGAACACAGTATGTCATAATCTGAAAAGTTCCACGTTGGTGGACATGCTAACATGGGAGGTGGAAATCCCATGAGGCCCCACACATAGAAAAAGAACTCTAGGCAACTAAGGAATGGTGAGTGGGAAAAAGTCTTCCCCAGGGAAGAGTCCCCTAATTTGCTATCTAATACCAAGTTGTCAGCTATGAAATGGTATACATACAAGTAACATTATACAAACTGAGTAGGTTGTATTTCTATATTTAGGTGTGTGTGTGTGTGTGTGTGTGTGTGTGTGTGTGTGTGTGTGTGTGTGTAAAAACTAGAGAAAAAGAGTCCATGGTCTTGAGAGGGATCAAGGGTGATGGAGTACATGGAAGGGTTTGGAGGGAAGAAAAGAGAGGGGGACACAATGTAATTATATTTTAATTTAAAAAATTAATAAAGGAAAGGCAGGTTAAAAAAAAGAATAAGTTTGTGGCAGGAGACATAAGTCAAACGCCATGCAGACATTCATCTTTTCTATCGAAGGAACTTACTATGCATTTGCTTTTGATGTTTGCTGGAAGTATGACCATGCAGCCATTTAATAACCTCATTCTTGGATAAGCCACATAGCCCCTGTGAATCTTAGGCTCCTCATCTTTAAAACCTCTGCTACTATCTTCAAAAAGTTCCTTCCAGGGACTAGAGAAAATTACACACACATGACACACACACACAAATACTTAATACACTCAAAGATCCTGCTCAGATAAGAGGAATTACCATGAGGAGTGAAGCAAGCAAAACAGTGATTGGCATGCCCGGCAGCACTGTGAGAAGAACCCATCTATTGGCCCCCTCCAAAGTGAAGCTTGAGCTCATCAGAGACTGATAACCTTTTGTTGAAAGCCTTGCTGGCTTCACAGGATTGTCACCTAGGACCTCTCATCACTGCCTCTGATGTCTGGGAAATGCGAGACAAGCATCATTTTAGAAGAAAACAAAATGACAAATTGAAGAAGTCCAGGCAGGTTCCTTTGCAATTGCAGTCTAACACTCACCGCAACTTGTTAATAAATAAAGTTGCCTGGGGGTCAAAGCTAATAGCAAGCCATCTCAGAAACTGGGTGGTGGTGGTGCATGCCTTTAATCCCAGAACTTGGTAGGCAGAGCTAGGTAGATCTCTGTGTGTTCAAGGATGCAGCCAACATGGAGACACACGCCTTTAATCTCAATACCAACCATAGACAACCTGGAGGTCTGTACAGACAGGCAATGACTAGGAGGTCATGTGGTTGGGTTTACAATCAATGAGAAGGCAGAACAGAAAGTCTTTATAAAGACAGACACACAGGAAGTAGCTCTCTTTCGGAGAAGTAGGGCCACCGCGACAGTGAAGGGTAAGGGTTTTTTTTTTGTTTTGTTTTGTTTTTTTTTTTGGTTTTTCGAGACAGGGTTTCTCTGTGTAGCTTTGCGCCTTTCCTGGAACTCACTTGGTAGTCCAGGCTGGCCTCGAACTCACAGAGATCCGCCTGCCTCTGCCTCCCGAGTGCTGGGATTAAAGGCATGCACCACCACCACCTGGTGCATGGTAAGGTTTAGCTCTTAGCTATTGCTCTGACCTCTTGGCTTTCATCTCTGTATTGGCTTTGTGTTTCTTATTTAATAAAACGGTTGGTTACATCTACATTTGGCGCCCAACGTGACAAGAATCCATTAAAAGCCGCTTGCCTTGGCTTGGCGGCAGGTCCCGTTTCCCCGCCTGGGCGGCCCGGCTCCCTAGCTTGGACCCAGGTCGGCTTGGTCTCAGGCCAGACTGACCGTAGCCCCAAGCAGTTAGCTGCAGCTGGAGCTACTTGCTTAAAGCCAGTGTTGCAAACAACTCAGGCCTGCCCTGCCGAACAGGGCCCCTGCCTGTAAAGCCAACGCACATGGTCGGAGCTTAAGGAAGCCGGAGCCCAGGCTTGACTCGACTCAAGTGGGAACACGTGGCTGGATTTAAGCTTTTAGCCAGAACTTTTGGCTATGCTTTCTTGTGCGTACTTGCTCTCTCTCTCTCTCTCTCTCTCTCTCTCTCTCTCTCTCTCTCTCTCTTCACACCTTGGACACTAGGTGGCTGTTTTGAAATTCCCTCAGATTTCTACTGTTCTATGCAGACTTGATAAGTCAATTAAGATATCAGATATTTTAAAGGAAACTATTTAAAAGAGAAATTTTTTTTCCACACACACAAAAAAATGGGTTTTATGTGTACACTGGAGGAGAAGAAAATTGGGCTTTGTTTGAAATTTTAGGCAGTCTGACAATGGAACAACTATATGAGAAGATTAATATTGATCGAATTACGCACTTTATTACTTTTCTTATCCTCATTTTACTATTTAAAAAGATAGTCAATTTAAGTGCCAGGATAAGAGTTTTAGAAAAACCTGTTGAACCTGTTAAAATGAATTATAGAGAAATTCAAATTCAGACCGAAGGAATTAACAGTGAAGTTGTTTCAAGATTGGATCATAAGGTTACAGAAAGAAAGCCTGTTTTCACACAATCACCCTTAATTTATCCGGTAACCGTACAGCAGTTACCTGATCAAGTGAATATACAAAATATTTGGGCTCCAATTGAAATGTTAGATTTACGAAGGTTTAAGGAGGCAATAGTATCTTATGGCATGCATTCCCCATATGTAAAGCAAATGTTAAACATCTGGTCAACATATAATAGGATTATACCACAGGACTGGCAGGAGCTGGCACAGGCTGTTCTGGAACCTGGTCAACGGCTCCAGTGGCAAATGTGGTTCAAGGAAGAGGCAAAAACATAGAAAAACAATGGAAGGATAAAGGAATACAAGTCTCCCAGGATCAGTTTGTTGGAGAAGGCCAATATGCTGCAGTACAAACACAATGTTTATATGATATACAAACCTTAATTCTATGTTGAATGGCAGCCTTGAATGTATGGGACAGAGTTGAGGAACCAGGAAAGAAAACTGAGTCATTTACAAAGGTTATACAGGGCCCAAAAGAATCTTTCACAGATTTTTTTTACTAAGACTGGCTTCAGCAGTAAAGAGAATGGTCCCAGATTCAGAAGCTAGTCAGATAATAATTGAATCTTTGGCCTTTGAGAATGCGAATGCAGCATGCAAAAGAATAATCAGGCCATTAAAGGCAAGATCTGCACCCTTGGAAGATTGGATTAGAGACACACTTAATGTTGAGTCTCATGACCAAGATGATATGTTGGTAGGAAAAGCAATTTCAAAAGGTTTGAGGAATGTTAGATGTTTTGGATGTGGAAAGCAAGGACATTTGAAAAGGGACTGTAAACAGGTCATTCCTAGAAACAATGTTTCTTCAAGGAACACTGGCAACAGAATGCCCCTTCCTTCTGGAGTATGCAGAAGGTGTGGTAAGGGAAAACACTGGACCAATGAATGTAGATCAACAAGGGACAGGCAAGGTAATCCTTTGCTTCAGGCTTCGGAAAATCCCAGAGAGGCCTCAGGCAGGGCCCCACAGCAAATCCACTTCAAACCTTTCCTGCAGTAGTAGAGGAAACCCCTACTCAGAGCAATTAAATAACCAAATGCCAAATTCTGTAGATCTCTGAAGGGTTTGAAGATGACCTGTCTATCTAAAATAGATCTACTCAATTTTGAAAACATACTAATATTACTACAAGTTCTATTATAATGTCTAACTACTAACTTTCATTTCTTTATAACCTAATAGTTGGTAATAATAACATTCAAGGATCAGAAAATTGCATTACATTGTTAAATGAATGGTATAAGTACAATTAGAAATATACATATAGCATTTTCTAACAATATCAATTTCAATATACATAATTTGTACAATCCAATCCAATGTAAAGTATTTAAAACTAGTAATTGTCTTTTTCTTTGTCAGCTTAGTGATATTATTATTGTCCACGTGGAATTGTTGTTGTGGGGCCCCATCTTCTTCCTGGAGACTTCAGTTGGTGTTAGGCCTGGCTGTGATTTCCTGCAGAAACTGATAAGAGACTCGAACCCAAAGACATATATAAGCAGTTAATTGAAGCCTTTTTTCTAGAATTAGTACCAAAAAGAAAAAAGAAAAGAAAATGGAAAAAGGGAAAAGAGAATCAAAGAAGAGGGAGATAAGGAAACAAAAGAAAGCGTTGAAGGAAAGACTAAATTCACCAACTCTGGCTCCTTCACTTATAGACTGGGACTGACAAAGGTGTGACAGGGACCCAGTCCCTTCCACAGGCTCGGAGAGTGTCCCAGAAGAAGCCGCTCCATACTGAGACCTGAAAGGTAGGACTTCCCCAGAGGAAGAGGCTGGAAGACGTCGGATTAGAAAAAGTCATGGACAGAACTGGAGAAATGGCTCAGTGGGGAAAGTGCTTTCGGTACGTGAGAGAGAAGCCGAGTGTGGATCCTTAGCATCCACACACAAGTCAGACATGGTAGCACGTGTCTGCAAACACGCCACAGCTGGGGGAGGGAAGGGGGTAGACTCTCCGGAGTGCTCCAGCTGGCCAGTCTGGTTGAAATGGAGAACTCTGGGTTCAGTGAGAAACTCCTTCAAAAAACAAAATTAGGTAAACAATGATGGAGGAAGAATTAGACATTGACCTCTGGACTGTACACGTCCATGGGTGAATACTCTCTCTCTCTCTCTCTCTCTCTCTCTCTCTCTCTCTCTCTCTTGTCTCTCTCTCACACACACACACACACACACACACACACACACAAAGTCAGCGGTAGAACAACTGTAACCCATGAACAGCATATATAAAACAAACATATGAAGTCTAAAAAAAAAATAGCAGTAGAAAAAATGAAGCAGAGCTGGTGCTTTGAGAGATCAATGGAATATGAAATTGACCAATATCTACCAAGACACGCTTCAGGAATAAAGGGGACTATGGCTAATGACCAGAAAAGCACCAGACGAGCACCCCAAGAAACAAGAGGAAAATGCAGATGACGTGGACCCATCCATCTTGAAAACGGCCACAACTCCCTCAACATGCAATAAAACCCTGGATTTGCCCTCCAACCATGAAGTAAACGAAATTGATCATTTGAAATCTTCTCAAACAGAAATACCAAGCTTCCAAGAACTCCAACAACACAGCAAGCACATGACATTTCCAGGATTTGAGCTCAGCATCTGGTCCTGGGTCTTCCGTCTCATCCACCATGACATGCAGAGTTAACTAAAGAATTTGGTCCATAGCCACTTCTCAAGGGACATTTGGATCCAACCAGATGCAAAGATTCCTAATCTATTACAAAATTTACTTTTCAAATTTGACTTTTAAAAATGGAAATTCAAATCTCAACAGGAGACACTGTTTCAACAGAGAAGCTCGGGCACTACTGACGTTTTATACTTCCCATACATGTATGCATTGTTCAAATAAACAGGGAGGCTGGGTATTCCTGCCAGCAGCTTCCATGCAGTTCACTCAGAAGACAGGTAAAATGTACTTGGGAGAACACACCAGATGGGAGGTCTGTTATCTGGAAAGTGAAGAGCTTCATGGAGGCAGAGCCAGCTCTACCACTATAATTACAAGAGCCAGGAATCAAAATACTGTTTCATTAAATTTCCCTCTTCTTCGGGTTTTCACACCTTCGAGACTAATTATACCGTGGGGTGGTTTGAATGAGAATGGCCCCCATAGGCTCAGGTGTTTGAATGCATGGTCCCCAGTGGGGGGAACTGGTTGGACTAGGAGGGGTGGCCTTGTTGGAGGATCTTGCCAGTGGCTGTGGGCTTTAAAATCTGTAATTCATTGCAGCTTTATGTTCTACAAGGTTAGGGGTTTGTTTTAATATTAAAATTTTGAGAAGAGCAGATGCCTCAAAGGGCTTCTTCATACACATCTCAGAGATGGTCCTAGGTCTCTAAGGGAACAGGTGTCCTATTCTGAGAATCACCGGCCATGGGCCACAGGAAGACTATCAGAGGGGAAAGGTAACAGTCTGCCTGCTTCTGCTCTCCTGTAATTTGTCTCCACAAACCCTGTCCCTTCGCTAAACCTAAAAACATTGTGAACACTCCTTTCTCCCGGGAAGTCATTCTTATACCATTTGACGGAACAATTAACACCAAAGGAACAGGTTACTGGGCCAGTTTCTGACTTCATACATAAAGACTATTCTCTATGCTACACTGGCTCCAGTTGTAATCTTACCCGTAATGTTTAATCTAATTTAAAACTGTAATTAAAAATTGCAGTAAGCCGGCACCTATCACGTGACTGCAAATTTTCCAAAGGCAGATAGCCAGTCTGCAAGACACCAGGAAGGAAACTGCCTTGAACTCTCTTCTGCTGGCTCTAAGGATGTGTTGCCTGGAGTGAGGTGGGGGAAACCAAAAGGGAAGACATGATTGAGCATTTTAAACCTTCCTGCCAGAGCCTGAGTGTCTGAAATGCTATTTGCAAAAGAAAACAACGGACAATAGGGTTCCCTCATAGCCAGACAAATCTAATCAGCCACAGGTATGGCCTCTGCGGGGCATCCCTCACAATCTCCAACATTCCATTTCCATTATGATAAACTGTACTCTGGGGTCATTCATTCATCAAATTCTTTTCTTTCTAGCATTATAGGGGCTTTTAATCTCGAAAAAATACCCATTCACGACCATGTATTGAGAACAATGTTTCAGTTTCTCTTATAGCTTCTGTATAACCCACACCTGAGCATGTTTTTTATATCTTGAATTTCTAGCTATCCACTCCCCTCCAAAAGCTCCTAACCTAAAGACCAGAAAGACTTTTTTTTTCTTTGACTGACAGGGACAACTTTAGTTTCAAAAGATCAGACTACTAACCACATACTTACACACAAATGACAGTGGGCTTCCATCCAGCAATTAATCTCCCCCAAACCTCTAGAAAAAAGAGGGAAAAAAAAAAACCAGCAATGTGTCCATTTCAATGTCTGAACAATTGACAAACATCCGAATGCAAGGAGACACCTGAACTCCAAACAGGAAAATAAAAACATGCAAGCAAATAGCATTTTCTCCTCTGTCATCGGATCTAAAAGTTCATCTTGGCACCAACACAAAGAAGTAATGATTCCATCAGCAACTACCAGATGGCAGGCACGAAATGGCTGTAACCTTCTTAGAGAATGCTGGAGAATGGCTCCGTGGAGTTTAATTTAACAGTGGCTGCCATTTCCTCTCTGCTACTTCTTGCACAGCATGTCAGGCCGTAGTTCACAGGTCTGGCTATGCAGTGACTAAGGTCAACACCATGAGACATGCAAGAGGAGTTGGGAGGCATTTGTGAGACCTCTTTTTTTCTTTCTTTCTTCCTTTCTTTCTTTCATTACCTTGGATCTTGTTTTTAGAAAATGCAGGCCGAATTTCTGGTCATAAGAAAATGGGTTGCCCATCGTGGGATATTTTTTACATCACTTTTCTTCTATTGGTAATTAGGAGACATCGGAGCATCTTTTGTCATTAGCCAGTAAATCGACCTCTTAGTAAGGGACCACAGGCAAACACCGAAGGGAAAGGTCTTCATGAGACTTCCTCCTCAGCTAGCTCCTTGCAGTGCCCACCCATTTAGACCATTCCTCTAACGTTGGTGAGAATCGCTGCCCAGCTTATGACCACCTGTGGTGCCTCCTCCAACCCTGGCACAAGGGCTGCAATGCAGCCATAAACCAGAGTCTTCATGGGTGAGGCCCAGGCATCAGTCATTTTTCAAATTCCTCAGGTGGTCCCAGGTTGGCTAAGGTATGCAAGAAGTAATACATTTGAAATTTCTACAAGTTTCTGTAAATTGGTTTATAGAAAGCTAACTTCTGTTCCTTAACTTCTACCCTAGGTCACCCTGGCATTGGTTTGTTATTCTTGGGATGTTCCTTTCCCACTCTCTCTCCCCCCAAGCCTCCATCTCTCCAAGGTTTTGTTAAAGTTATGGGGTTTGGAGGTCAGCCTGCAATAGTGAACATGGGGTCCCCTCACCCCAGGGAGACACTGTTCTGGCACCGCAGCTCTAATCTGGAAGGCGTCAGACCAGGCTGCTCATACGAGTGTGAAGGTTAAAGAGGCTCACGCCCGAGTGTCCCTTCCCCTTTAACCACTGTGCACTGCAAAGCTCCTGGCTGTGGTAAGATGGTTGGGGGAGGCTGCTCCACCCTTCTGTCTATGCGGCTGGACCTACAAGAAGCTGTCTCCTTCTAAGATGCCACATGACCCACCCTAACTCAGGCACTACCCGCAACCGTGCATCCGACAGTGAGCTTTGGGATTACCAACCTATATGCTTTTGTGATGTGATGATTTCTGCACAGTCCATCTTATGCTGACCTCTCTTTCCTGTGTCCCTTAAACTAATAATCACAACTTGCTTTACCTAAGAAGTGGCAGCATCGGGTCTTATTGTCAGTCGGAACCTATCAGTGTTATGTCAGTATAACAATGCTTCAAGCCTTCTAGTGACCTGCTAGTTCAAGTCCAAAGAGATTTTTATTTTACACATGACAAGTACTTGGTAAATGCTGGATGAACCAGAGTCTACTCCTAAAAGCAAGATCATCACCCAACCCTGGCTCTAGCAAAGGAAAACATCATAGCGTCTAGACAGGCACTTCAGTAACAAGGCACAGAGATCCACTCAAATACATCCAAGTGAAAAGAGACAATGTGCAGGAAGCAGAGCAGAGGTTCAGGCCAACCAGAAGCGGCTCTGCCCCGCCCCCTTCCTCTTTGGTGCCGTCCAGCTCTACTATGGACAGTGGACCTCATTTCTTCCCCCTAAAGACTCCAGTCCTTTGCACTTGGCCTACTTGGGTCAACCACTAATGGTGGCCTCTCTTTATATCTCAGAGAAAGTTTATTGGCTCACCTTGAGGGAGGGAGGAGTGAACATCCTGTTACCTACCACCTTCATCTGAAGCAGATGGCAAAACCCAGGATTGCTACTACAATCACTACACACACATTATGTTGGGAGATGTGATGTCCTCAAGAAAGTGTTGTGGGATATTTTGATCTCACTCTGACACTCCTTAGTCTGCCAATAAAGTTAAACCATGAATCAGAGGGCAAGCCAGAGACTAGCTGACCAGAATTAGCCATAGAGAAGCCAGGAAGTTGGATAGAGAAGACCTAAAGGAGGAAAGGGTGGGACTACAGCTTGGCACAGGTTTTTGGTTTTTTGGGATGAGGAAGAGATGGACTCTTGCTGTGTGTCTGGCCAAAAAGCAAGTCCAGCTGGTTGCTTCTTGGCTTCTCTGATCTAGCAAGTTTTCACGCTCACATCTGATTTTCGAGAGTCTTTGTTGCTAAATAGAACAATAGAGACTTAGTTTAAACCTATACATCACAGCTGAGGCAGTCTGGCTGCCAGACTGGAAGATCTCCAGGCAGCAGCCTAAGTGGGCAGTGGGCCGCTGACTGGGTGGCTGTGGGGCCTCAGACAGTAATTCAAATATCAGATTCATTTGCAGCTGCTAAGCTGACAGAAAAACTATAGTAGTTTTTACCCATAAATACTCGTTGAAAAAAACTGCCTTTATTTCTACAGGACAGTATTTCATAGCTCTAACTCACAGTAACCCTGACTTTAAAACACTTCGTCCTGTATAAAATCCTAGTCGGAGGTATTTCCGTTAGGATTTTAATCCATGTTGTTTCACATTATAGAGCAAAATACATCTGAAAATGCAAACACAGATGGGGAAAGGGTTTGTACAGCAAGAGAAATGAGTTTGAGCCACGTCTCGCCTGCCTTGAGTTCACAGTGTAACAGCTGTGGTTGAAGACAGGAAATCAGAAGGCCATTAAGCCACTGAAATAGTGTCCCAAGTCATGACAGCCACGCTCATTCACTTTAATGTGAGCAAGGCAGCGTGCACAGCCTCATCAGATGCTATTCACTGCTATTTGACACAAACTGTGTAGTCACATGACTTCCCGGACCCCTGGAAAATGAGAGGAAGGCTACTAGAGGCTGACACAGAAATGGTGCAGGAAATGTTGAGGAAAAGGAAAACTCACAAGGCACCCTAGAATCCAAGGAGCAAACCCTGTCTAAACGGGGGCATTCACAAACCTGAATAGGACCCAAAAGAGTTAAAAATAAAATGACAGCCTTGAAGAGCCTTCCTCGATAAGTTCCAGTTACAAAAGCAAGAAATTGGGGGGAGGGGTGATGTAAGTGGCTTTTTAAAAAGATGTGGAGTGTAAAAGAATGGCCTCAAGTTGTTTATACTATGTGCCCCCACAGTGTCTGAGAAATGTGATATTAATTCATACGCGGCACTGTCTATGAAATACACAAAGTAATTCACATGAAAAGAACATAGTAGCTTTTCCATTGGCCAATGATTGAAAACCTAAGAACCCTCCTGGTGAAAACCACTCAAGCTAGCTTCCTTCTTTCTAAGAACATTCTGAGTGATCACATGCGCTGATCAGTGGACTCAACTGATGCAAAACCTTCTTAAAGGGCAGGAGACATAGAGACCAAAAACGCTCTCCCCTCATCTGTCTTTCGCAAAACATAGTCTGTGTTACAGAACCACACATGTCCTGGAGAACTTGCTTCAAAATGTAAATCCAGAGTCCCAACTGGATATTACAAGAGTCAGAGTCTGTCGGAGAAGGGTTGAGCCTGCACTGCATGGTAGCAGAGTTCTGGGGAGGTCTGGACAGTCTCCCCATCACCGTACAAGGTCACCTTGAAGGGAAGGCTCAGCAACGCAGTCAGGAAGCCAGCCAGGTCTGTGAATTCTTGTGCCCAGTGTGTCCAATAAGGCCACACTCCTGACTTTGGCATTTCTCATCCACCTCAGTAGATGACCAAGTGCACACTTTGATAAGATATACGTAATTTTTTAAACTAAAGAATCCTAATTAACTCTAAAAAGATGAAGATTTTTAAGGATTTATTTTTATTATTTTTACTTATATGTATATGTGTGTTTGTATGAATGGATGTCATACGTATGTGAGTAGCTCTCAGGGACCAGAAAAGGGTATCAGATCCCTTGAAGCTGGAATTACAGGAGGTTGGGAGCCTCCTGATGTAGGTGCTGGGAACCTAACTTGGGTTCTCTAAAATGGCAAAAAGTACTCTTAGCTTCTAAGCCATCTCTCCATCCCTAGCTCCGTAATATTTTTATAAATATTTTATTTTTCTTTAAAACTTTCTTTTTAAATATGTGTCTGTCTGGGAAGAGGTATGCATATGGATGCAGTGCCCTCAGAGGCCAGAAGGGGGCATTGGATCACCTGGAATTGGAGTTACACATGGTTGTGAGTTGCTAGGGTGGTTCTCAATCTGTGAGTCACGACCTATAAGACCATCAGAAAACACAGATATTTACATTACTATTCATAACAGTAGCAAAATTACAGTTATGAAGTAACAAGGAAAACAATTTTATGGTTGGGGGTCACCACAACATAAGGAACTGTATTAAAGGGTCGCAGCACTAGAAAGTTTGAGAACCACTGCTCTAGAAGCATGGGCTCAAAAGTACTGGCTGGCAAGCATGCATGGCAAACAGAAAAGTTTGAGCAGTTCAGAATTTGTTGTTGACACTTAAAGTTAAAAGGTTTCTCCTCCTCCTCTCCATCCTCCTCCTCTCCATCCTCCTCCTCTTCCTCTTCCTCCCATTCTTTCTCCTCCTCCTCCATCCTTTCCTGGAAAGGTAAGTATTGCAAGAACCACATAAAGCAGCCATGTGGCCAGTCACAGAAGCTGGGGCTTAGCAGCAGCACTCCCACCTTCAACCACGTTCTACGGCGACCTCAGCCTGCTTCACTCACCACAACAATTGTCAGGACCCGCACACCTTTGCACCAGACACCCCAGCTTATAGGAACCTGGCACAAATTCAGTCTCTCTCTGCCTCACCCTCTTGCTG